CTGCCCCTATACACATTGGTTGCCATTAAAGTTATTAAATGTCTAGTAAACTTTTATGACAAACAGAATAAAACTTAGTTTTTCTTTTTTCAACTGTTAGCTTACTTTTCCTTATAATATTTATGTTTAACGGAAAATAACAAGAGGAAAGAGGAAAAGTTGTTGCCACATTAACCAACATTTTTGCAAAAAAAAAAAGGAAAAACGAAAACTTTCAGCTTCAGTAAATAAAAGTTAACAAACTAATCAACATTGCTTGAAAAGAAAATTAATAAAATATTAAAATTTCATGAGTTTAATAAGTAGCTAAATAACAAATTATAAACTTTGACATTGAGTTGAAAAGGGAAATAAAACTATTTATAAGAATTTAATTGTATAAGAAAAGTTTTTTGGCAATGAATGTTGGTCAAAAGTAGATTGTTATATAGTAAAAGTCCCAATAAAAAAATGTAAACATTACTATAGCACCAGTCCTGTAACTATTTAATTTGTGGTGTATATCTCTTACGCTTGTAAGTTTTAAAGCTTGTTCTAACGGGAGAATGTCTTTAATTCTAGGAGGTTAAATTTTTAAAAGTTTTTTTTTTTGACTATATAGTCATAATTTAAAATTTCCTATGTTTAAAAGAATAAAACTCTAAAATCGGAATGTATAAATATATTTATAAAGTACACATATACAAATTTTTCGAAGTCATTTGACAGAAAAGGGTAAATGAGTCTACAAAACACATATAAATAATAATGACACCAACACAATTATAATAATGCCTACATTTATGTACAACAACAAAAAAGTCATTTGCAAATATGACTATATGTCTATAAGTATTAGCCCTGTACTTTTGATAGGGACAATGTGCCCCTTTTCATTAGTTATAGTTACTTTACCCACATAGCTGTGCCGAAACTTACTGTACCTTCACCAAAGAGTATGAAAGAAAATATAATTTTTTAAATGTTTAAGAACTTTTCTTTAAATTTATATCATACACAATCTTCCATCCCTGCTTCAGCTTCATACGTTACGGGATGTTGTTGTATTTAGTTTTTATGCAGGCTATAGTTTAGTCTAGTATATAGTCTAGTGTATAGTCTAGTCTATAGTCTAGTCTATAGTCTAGTCTATAGTCTAGTCTATAGTCTAGTCTATAGTCTAGTCTATAGTCTAGTCTATAGTCTAGTCTGTAGTCTAGTCTAGTCTAGTCTAGTCTAGTCTATAGTCTAGTCTAGTCTATAGTCTAGTCTATAGTCTATTCTATAGTCTATTCTATAGTCTATTCTATAGTCTAGTCTATAGTCTAGTCTATAGTCTAGTATATAGTCTAGTCTATAGTCCAGTCTATAGTCTAGGCTATAGTCTAGTCTATAGTCTAGTCTATAGTCTAGTCTATAGTCTAGTCTATAGTCTAGTCTATAGTCTAGTCTATAGTCTAGTCTATAGTCTAGTCTATAGTCTAGTCTATAGTCTAGACTATAGTCTAGTCTATAGTCTATTCTATAGTCTATTCTATAGTCTAGTCTATAGTCTAGTCTATAGTCTAGTCTATAGTCTAGTCTATAGTCTAGTCTATAGTCTAGTCTATAGTCTAGTCTATAGTCTAGTCTATAGTCTAGTCTATAGTCTAGTCTATAGTCTAGTCTATAGTCTAGTCTATAGTCTAGTCTATAGTCTAGTCTATAGTCTAGTCTATAGTCTAGTCTATAGTCTAGTCTTTAGTCTAGTCTATAGTCTATTCTATAGTCTAGTATATAGTCTAGTATATAGTCTGGTATATAGTCTAGTCTATAGTCTAGTCTATAGTCTAGTCGATAGTTTAGTCTAGAGTCTAGTCTATAGTCGAATCTAGAGTCTAGTCTATAGTCGTTTCTATAATATAGTCTAGTCTACAGTCTGGTCTGAAAGGAATGTCTGATGAAATGATCCAATGTTTGGAACCCGAAATTATCTGATGCTTTCTATATGACGAAGATCTATAAATCGACTTCGCTCTCCAAAAGAATTCAGATTGGATATAGCTTATAGGGTCGAGATATACTCATATAAATAGCGTCAAACTGTGATTACCTTATATGTTGAACAAAAGTTGAGGGACGCTTGGCAGAACTGTTAGGATATTTCACATACATATGCACTTATTTAGTTAAATGAAGAACGTTTAACACAAAGTACATATTTGTGCTTTTTAAATGTGTGTGTGTGTGTTTAAGCAAGTGGGTGACTGACTGACATCATACTTACAACATAGTACACTCTATCAGGACATGTAATATAACAACAACACTTGACATCTATTGTAAAAAAAGTATATAGTACATACAATGTGTTTGTGATGCAAACTTATATTGATATTAGGGGGCATCGAAGAAAGTTAAAGTTTTTATTTAAAGTTTCTTATGTATAAATTTTGTTGAAAATCAATATTTAAGGAAAAAAACGGTTAAGTTGTAGGATTTTTCTAAACCATAATATTTCACAACAATTTTTGGTAAAATTAAGGCAAATATAAAAAAGATATGATAAAACTGTAACTGATCAAGCTCGTTTAACGATCTGTTAGAAAAATAACTTCCTTTTTAACTCCCTTTATTCCGTATCACCCTATTTATATATACTTATTTATTTAGGTAAATATGTACATTAAATTAAATACATTTTGTGTTGTTTTTTGTTAATACTTTTTGTTGTTTAAAAGAAACATGAATATGTATAACAATGTTTAAAAAGCTGAACAGAAAGAGAGAGAAGCGTTGTAGAGGGAAAATGAATAAAGAAGGAAAATCGAAGGAAAATTTAAGCATTGTATATGTATGTATGTATGTGAGTATTGCAAATGACAAGTGATTTAACCAGAATAATAAAATGTTTTTCTTTAAAAAAACAAAGATGAAAAGGTCAGTTTCAAGAATTTAACAAAAGATAACAACTTTAATAAATTAAATAAGTAAACAAAAACAACTGTCTATAAGTAAATTGCTTTAATTTTAAGGATTATACCAATATTCTATAAATTTGTTGATTTTAGACTGAAAATGTTGAAATTTTATAGAAAAAAAATCTTAAATAATTTGCTTTAAAATTAGAAAGTTAATGTAAAAGACACTAATTACAAGAAAATTATTATTTTATTTTTGAAAATTCATCTTTTTCTGCCTTTTTTCCGTAAAAATTACCATTACTTGCAGTTTAAGCATAAATTCTTAAATTTCTGTGATGATGCTATGCTTGTTGAATTTGTAATTTATATTCTCTTATTAATAATTTTCCTCTCACTGGTTTCATACTTACAAATATAACTAACATTTATGTCATTTATTATACGTTTGCTGTCAAAACCAGACACAAGTTTTTCACAATGGCAGCCTTTTGTTTGAGAGTATATATTGGGAAAATTACAACATTTTGCAGGAATTTAAGCCATGATATGTATTATGAAGTGAGCATATGCGTGAGTTTGCAGTTATAATTTATAACAGTATAAAAGTGCTTTAAATTTCCACTAACTGTTCATTTAGATTGAACAAATTAAAAAATTTTAAAGTAGTTTAACAAACAATTGCAACAATTTTCTTTTAAATAGTTTTATATACTATTAGGCGTTAATTTTTATAAAGTTTCATAGCCTAATGTTAGGCTGTTTAAATGTAAAATTTCCTATATTTATGCTTTGTTTTTAATATTTTTGAAAATTAAAGCTATGAAATGCTTAACGTTATTTTTGGTATACATATTGACTCCTTGGGGCATAATAATTCTAATTTATTCTAAGCTTAGTTGAACGTGTCCTTGTTGTATGTGAGAGCTGTTTTTTTTACTTTTGTTTTATAGTTGACCAACTAATGACGTGCCATTGAATACACATGGGTGTTTTGTTGAAATATTTTCGAGTGATTTTAAAAAAATCCAATAAATTTTGGATGAATTAAATAGTGAATTAACTAACTAACTAACTAACTACTAACTAACTACTACTAACTAACTACTAACTAACTAACTAACTACTAACTAACTAACTAACTAACTAACTAACTAACTACTAACTAACTAACTAACTAACTAACTAACTAACTAACTAACTAACTACTAACTAACTAACTACTAAACTACTAACTAACTTAACTAACTAACTAACTAACTACTAACTAACTAACTACTAACTAACTAACTAACTAACTAACTAACTAACTAACTAACTAACTAACTAACTAACTAACTAACTAACTAACTAACTAACTAACTAACTACTAACTAACTAACTAACTACTAACTAACTAACTAACTAACTAACTAACTAAAAACTAACTAACATACTACTAACTAACTAACTAACTAACTAACTACTAACTAACTAACTAACTAACTAACTAACTAACTAACTAACTAACTAACTAACTAACTAACTAACTAACTAACTAACTAACTAACTAACTAACTAACTAACTAACTAACTAACTAACTAACTAACTAACTACTAACTAACCTAACTACTACTAACTAACTAACTAACTAACTACTACTAACTAACTAACTACGAACTAACTAACTACTAACTACTAACTAACTAACTAACCTAACTAACTAACTAACTAACTAACTAACTAACTAACTAACTAACTAACTACTAACTAACTAACTAACTAACTAACTACTAACTAACTAACTAACTACTAACTAACTAACTAACTAACTACTAACTAACTAACTACTAACTACTAAACTAACTAACTAACTAGCTAACTATGTATGTTAAAGTTAACTTTTATTACTAGATTTAATTTAGATTTTTTAAGATTTTTAAAATTTTTTGCAAATGAGTTTCCTAAGCTGGCTTAAGTTATGCTATACTTTTATTATATAAATTTTGCATAGCTGAATGAATTGAAAGAAAATCTTATTCATAACAAGATAAATTCTAGGAATATTCTCGAAAAAATTAAAATGAAAATTTTATAGTTTTTTTAACAATAAATTGTTAATATAATGAAATTTTACTTACTTCATTTGGCCTTTGTTTTTTTATTTAAGGTACACTGTAAAGATAAAGAATAAGGTAAAGTTAATTGACAACATGTTTAAGAATTATATTATTAAGACTTAAATGATAAGCATATTCGACTATATGTTTGTTAAAACAGCTTTTCTCAAGAACCCACCTAACTCCGGGATTCAAATCTAGAATATTCCTACATACCAAGCTTTCAAAAAATTTAGCTTTTTTGAATACCCTAGATATCTTGAGACTCAAATCTAGATTGTTTCTACCAAACTTGCTTTCAAGAAGTTTCCTTTTCCTATATAATCAGCCAAATCCTCTAAAAAATCCATAAATAAGGGAAATACGACACAATTCCACAACAATCCATGTCAGAAAATGAGAATTTATAATGAAAACAACAACATACCGCTTCATATGTTTACACATGAAGCTATATGTTATGGCTAAAGTTAATAGTAGATTCATGATTGGAAGTTTGTGAATGATAAAAAAAATTTCAAGAAAAAAATTAAAAATTTTTAAAAATATAATAAAAAATAAAAGTAATTTAATCTGTTTCACTATGGTGAAGAGTATATAAAATTCGGTGCAGTCAAATATGAAACTCCTACTTGTTATATACCTATTTAACTTCGCAACAGCTGATTAAACTGTTAAATAAACATTTAAAGTCTTTCCAAAAAGCAACCAGATTTTCAAAATAATCTTTTTCAAATTATACAAAAGTGAGACCTTTAAAATCCTTGAGCAAATATTAACATATTAATAATTATCTTTTATAATTTTTTTATGATTTTAGTTAAATTATATTTATTGCTGATACCAACAAGAATATATTTAAACTCTTTTTTTTCATTCTCAGTAACAACAATATTTAGAATTTATAACAGTTTTGTTTAATTTTTGTTTTGTCATTAAGTCTAATTTATGGCCAAAATGTTATGCCAATTATGGTAGAAAGAAAAAAAAACAACTAAAGTGTTAAGCCACTATATGTATATGAAACTGAAGAGATAAAACACGTTGCTTCAGTGTCACACATGGTCTAAGAGTGTGCTAAATAGAAATGAGGGATTTATGTTCATTTTATACACAGACATACACACATGGCCATTTAGACTTAGTAAATAATACTATAAAAAGGGTAAATTGGCTGAAAGCAAAACAAAAACTAAAAACTATATACAGTTTCACTAGAAATACACATAAATCCTGGTAATCCTGTTTCGGAAAGCAACAACGATTGACATACAAAAACATTCATGGTGATAAATATAAAATTTTCCAATTAAAAGCCAAAAAGTTGTTGACGTCAATGCAGAAGAAGCCAGATGTTAAGGTCTATAGACATTTTATGAAAAACAGGGCATTTGAAATTATCAAAGATTAGAAGTTGTGGTAATTTTTTCATAATTCATTACTGAATTATTAACATGAGAAAAACCAACTAAATAGCTTAACAACTCATTAACATTAAAAGCTTTAAAATGAGTCTAAAAAATGAAAACCGAAACAATGATAAACCATTAACCACATTTCTAAAACAAAACTCATCAGAAAAGAGGTATGATGATGATGTTGATGGATGCCTAAATGGTTGGTTGCTTGGTTAAACATAAGATTTTAGTTGCCATATTAGAGCTAAGCTGGCCATTGTTGACGACTTTTGCTGGAAAGCCAATATTTCTCTTTCTATATACAAAGCAGCCTTTAACACATGCAAAAATCCGTTGCAATCTTTAGTGTTTTTGTTTTCAACAAAGAAAATATTTTATGTAAAAATGTTGCTGGTATATATAAAAATATAGAACTGAAGAAAACCTCCAACCACAAAACAATGACAAGACTATAATAAAAATATACTTGAAGGACAACAGCCATAACAATAGAAATGAGAAGAAGTATAAATAATAACAAAAAAGAAAACTAAATAATAAAACATTTTAAAGAAATAAGAAAATACACTCAAAGAGTTAGTAAAAAATAAATTTGTAAATTATATTAATATTTAATTAAACAAAAAAATAAAGCACACTTTTTGAAGTTGAAAAATCAGGCTATTTGTAGCCCTCTTTAAGGCTTAAACTAAAAATTCTAAAAAAATAATTAGCCATATTTTGCTGAGTGTATCAACAACTGCTTGCCAAAGCAATATACTGTTAAGAAAAAAAGCCATAAAAACAAAAAGATAAACATTTATCAAAAGAAGAAAAAAAAGTTGAAAATAAAGAAGAAAACTATAAGCCTAAAAACCTTCTTCATTTCTATATATGTATATTTTTTATTACACACAATGCACTAATACAATGACAAACAGTACAGCGAGAGAAATTTATAACACACACATATGTTTCGGCATATTGTGGTAATGCAAAAACCCGTCCAAAAAGCAAATTATAAGGGAGAAGTTGTAAAGGTTTCTGTTTTTTTTTTTTTTTACTCTAAAACAAATAAGAGCCTAATAAACGTGCCTAAAAGCATAAAAATGAGATGTTGTCTTATAGAAATCTAAATTTATAAAGAAAAAAAATCTTAAAAGTAAAAGAAATAGGGTAAAAAAGAGACAGGGAAATTTAGGTCTGTCTTACTATGACGTTATTAGAGTAACTGTACAAAATTATGATGATGGATAACACGATTTAAAACGAAAAGTTTAATATTTGTTAAATTTTAATTTCTTAAGCTTCTTCTATTTAAGGCATCTATTAAAACACTCCTCAGATGACATTTTTAGTTAATAATGATTATCTAAATTTTTTGTATTTAAATTATCCTTAAATTTTTCTTTTTTTTAACTTCATTATCCATTTTGGAAAACTTTATTCTTACATATTGTGAATGAATGTTTTATTTTATATAAATCAAGCTTTTTATTCTTTAAAATCCCAACTTTTTTATACTTTTCTTTTTTCAACTTTTTCTATAACATACATTATTAATCTTAACTTTACTGTCAATTTTCTTAATTATTTTCCTTGAAAGCATTATCAAAGTTCTCACAATTTGATAGTAAATTTTATTATCTATAAAACAAGATCAATTTTTCGAAAATATGTTGAAAATTATGGAAGTTATGAACATTTTTCTAAACCTACCACAAAAATTGCATATACTCTCACTCTCTTTTGTAATTCACTGCATAGTTTTAGGCGACAATAGTATAATTGTATGGTTAGGCTTATATAAGTAGTTGAACAAAAATGTCAATAAATTAGTCAATTTTTAACGGATTTGAAAAAACTAAATTGTCATTGTATAGAAAACAAATGGAGATTTTAAAATTATTACGAAAATATTAGGGATTTTATTAGAAATATTTATAGAAAAAAGCTGTTAAAATGAAAAAATCTTTTGAAATTTTAAATAAAACAAAATGACATGTAAAAAATTCTAATAAAATTAATAAAACAAACGTTTGGAATTAGAGACCATAGACTAGACTATAGTCAAAGCCATAGAGACTTTATTCCAGACTTTAATTTCGGGAAACAATCACCCTTAAAACAAGTATGCAGAAAATTTTGCAATACAATTAATTTAGTTATATTTTTTTTTACAAGAATTTAACAATGCATTAAAAATATCTTTATTTAAAAACTGCTAAGTATGTTTTATTTTTGCTAAATTTATACAAAATAAAACACTTGTGTTGCTTTTTAAGTTGCCTTGGAATGAATATTCTTCAATCTAAAATATATACATTGACAATCGTTGTGAAAATAAACACTTGACTGCTTGAAGAACAGACTTAAGTAAGAGAATATGACTGACTAAATTATTAACCAGCACACTACATACATATTATCAAAAACACTAACAACAACTAGTACCAAATCAACACTACTAAAGCAAATTTGTTATCTACCAGCAATGCTTAATGTTTACAACTACCCTCCCTGTGCCGGCAACATACTTATAAAAGACAAACAACACTTTTGTTTAAACTAAACACAAGAACAAAAAAAAACGTACAACATATAAAACTGAATATCACAAATTTAGAATAGATGAAGAAGAACAAAAAAAATTCAACCTACTGATTCATAATTTAATATGAATAATAATAATGATATCAGTGTGAATGCAGTCAATAAGAATGAGCATCGTTTACGATGTTGTTGTCGTTGTTGCCGACGTCGATGTTATAGTCAACATCATAATCTTTCACACCAAACAACAGGCCAGGCATCAAGCCCGCCAGCCATACAGCCAGCATCAATCGAAACTAAAACATGCAAGTGTTATTTACTCAATGTATCATAATCATCAACATCATCAACACATGCAGTGGTTGGTGGCAGCGTATAGCACTTCTTAACTACATACAATTCATAGTATTAAACTAAAAGATAGACAGACGTACATATGAGCGTATGGACAGACATATTCAGAGGCTGACAGGCCGTGATACTAATACACATTTCTATCATCAAAATAATGATAACGTCAGCTAGTCAAGCATACACAAGCAGATCACATTTAACATCTCTATATGTATATATGTATGAACAAGTACATTAATACAAACAGTTTGTACTCAATACAAAATACATCACAACGCCATTAAAAACGAACCAGCCAGCCACATTTTTAATATTCTTTTGGCATCATAAAGTTCATGTTGTTAGTTAGTTATTGCTGCTGCTGCTGCTAATGTTGCTGCTACATGTCTGTTTAGCTCAATGACAAAATGTTTGACCTATTGATTGATTGACTTGAACGAACGAACACACTAGAACACTACAATGACTGGCTGCTTGCACTTACACTTACATTTAAACAAACACATTCAAACTCATTTTCAGTTGTCTGGGTCCATAAAAACACTATCTTACATACCAAACTACATCATTAGGTTTTACCAGGACATAAAAAAGGCGTCTAGGTATCACTTTAAAAAAATTGTTTCCTCAAAATTTTAATCACTTGTTAGACTCGATTTATATATAATTGTATAATTTGAAATTTTTTTACTCCTTTTAATACCAATTGCAATCACCCCGAACTGCAGGGTCCATTCTGACAATCAATACATATT